AACCGAACTTTTTACTATTACCAACGCAGTACGGGACGGTTAAGCCGCTTGCCAGTTGTTGCCGAAAAAATTGATAGTTTTTCCAAGCTTGCGAGGGGAAAAAGAGAAACTTTGCTTTGTATGTGTGCGCTTTTCACGCGCTCAAATGCAATCGACACTGTGTTGCTAATTAAAATAAATGATCGATCGTTTGCATTTGTCCAAATAATCAGGGTATACATAACGGCGAGCGGCAGTGCAGCAACAACACCACCACCAAATACACACACCCTTAATCCAGCGCGGCATGTTCTTTGGTTGCCCCTCAAGCGCGCAACCAGCTAGTTGGCTTACTCTGTCTATGCGACACTATTGCCTGCAACTATATTTTCTGTATGTGTATGTGTGTGTGTGTGGCCGTCACTCTTATCGCTGGCAGCATCTCGCAAAACGCATCGAATTTCATGCACACGCCATGCCAGGATTTGCTATGCTAATGTCCTTCAGCCAACGTTCCGATTGTGTCGCTCCGTAAATCACGCGACAACATACACACCCAGTTGTTGTTGCCGTTATCCAAATATGCATTGCGCAAATACGCGTACGCTGGCAGTCGGTCATTCGTGGCTGGCGCTCTGGCTTCGTGTGCGCGCGTCTGTCGCATAATCTTACATTGCAATTTCAAGGATTAGTGGCTTAACTCTATGACCGGATTACTTGTGTTGCTCAAACAAGTCCTCAGTCCTCGCCTGCCAGTCGCTTGTTTACAGTTATACCCTTCTCCTCTGCTAACATCCTCTACTCGTAGTTCCTTCGGTTTTCTTGTGCGAATATTTTCAATTTTCCAGTTCCGCTTTAATGCGCATAAATGGTTGCAAATAACTCTCAACGGGCGGGTCTATCAGGTCAATGGGAATCGATTGATAAATATGCTCTTAGTATGTACCGTTGTTCGATTTGATTTGCCACTCAAGCAATTTTATGGCGGACTTTTTCTCACGGTCCGCGGATTCGGAGTTCAAGCGCAAATGAAAGTGACTGCATTTGGGTTTGAGGTCTGTTTGACGATGCAATGTTTCGTTCTTGAAGACTGAACTCGTATTCAATTACTGATCTTGTAATTTATGGGTTCGTGTCATAAATATCTCTCCTTCTTATTCTCACACTGTATCAATTAACTAAAATTATAAGTTTTCCTTTTCTGCTTGAATATTATGTTTCTTCCTCTAAAAAGATGCCCCTCTCGTTTAAAATGTTGTAGTTCCATAAGTTTGCTACAAGCGGCACTGAAGTTCTTCCTCACTTGGTCTTTCTAATTATTTTCAAGCATTTCTCTTGCTCTGCTGCCAGTTGTTTGTATACTTTAAATGCTTGCAGAACTAAATACTCTGCTGACATCTTTCACTCATAAAACTTTCTTTCGAAAAATCTGTCATAGTTTGTTATCATTGTTCAAACTTCTGGATCATATATTAGGACGTGATGATATGGCATGCATTAGGTTAAGTAGCCAACTTTATTTGGATATCCCTCAGTAATGTTGGAACAAATTTTTGTAACTTGCGATTCATTCTCGGTTTGGTTTAGTTACAAAACAACAGCCTACAATGTTTTTACAGATAAACTCAAAGCTGCTTTTTGGACCCAACTAAGATCGGAGCTAAGCGCTGAACCTATCATTTATAACTATTAGAAATAATATAATTCAGATTCAA